TAGTCAAACATTAAGACTTCGTAAGACATACTCGTATAGACGACTCGAGACTTAAGCAGGCCTGGTCCTAAAGGGGCCCCCTGTGCAAAAATTTGTCGAAAATACTACTCGAGCAACTACTCAAGGCCATCGAGGTCAACTCTACGACATGCGAGCAACTACTTTAGTACGATTTCAGGGACTAAAGAACCCCCTTTTCTAAAGAGGCCCTCTGTGCAAAATTTTTTCAAAAGACTACTCGAGTAGGAGCGCGAACACTAAAGGGTGGATTACGGGCGACTAACAAGTATAGATTGCGAACCGTAGACTCTAATCGCGAGTGTAACGTCGATAAGAGTAGCCATGTCGACCGCGGAGGGCGGAAAAGATAATCTCGTCGAGACGAGACCCGCGACGCGATCGGGACGGGCGTACGGTCCTTCGCAGTCGATCTTAAAGCCACCATCTTTTATACCAGTCGGAAGCGGAACGTTGAGTAGGACTGTATCGGAGTCAAGCGTTGTGACGCAACCGAGCGAGCGAATACTCGCCAGGGCGATGGACAGCATGCTGACCATCCGATCGATCCTGGACAGCACCGCAACCGAAGCAAACTTGACGAGTTGGGATCTGGAAGACCCATCTTTTCTAAGCAGTACCGTAAGGACTGTGATCCCAAATGCGCCGATAGCACCTACGCCTGATCCGCGATTGACGGAGCTAAGCGCGCAAATGTCAAGAATGGAAAGAATTATAGAAGATCTAGCTAATAAGGTAGCAACTTCTAAACCTGACGAGACGAAACCGGACATTAACCAACCGAAAATGACAGACAATTGGAACACTTTCCGAATGCCAAGGCAATACGGGAGTAACGATTCGGTCGAGACGCACGATGACATCAGATCGCGAATATTAACGACTTCGTTGACCCGTGGACTGGATCGACGAGACGAACGAATCACTGACATATACGACCCTGAGCCCGAACGTGAGTACGTTTCCGAGAGACGCCGACTCCGTATTCCATCTTACAGCGAATCGAATGCGGGACCGAGATACTCAACGAGAGATCCACCGAGATCTAACCCGTTCGGTGACTTAAAATTTTCGGGTCGTAATGACAAATTGCATCCGATGAGATTTTGGGAAAAATTCCTTAAAATCGCGGACCACGACGGACTCAGAGAAAGCGACAGACTCTACTTCTTCGAGCACTGCCTCACGGGCCGAGCATTGGACTGGTTCGAATTGCAAGAGTTCGAGGAATTTGGAGAAGTAGTTATCAGGTTTCGGGATAAATACTGGGGACGCGCGGACCAAAATGAGTTTCGCGACGCGATCAGAAGTGGCGTATACGACTACCAGAAGGGCCGGTCCATGTCGGAATACGTGGAGAAGTACGCTCGCGACGCGAGATTTTTGACACCGCCTTTACCCGAATACGAACTCGTAGAGTACCTGAGTCAGCATTTCACCGCTGACATATACGAAAACTTGATAATGTCACGTATAGACACCGTTCGCGAACTTTGTCATCATTTATCCGTCATAGAAAATCGCGAACGCAATCGAAATTATATCAAAGTCAGACAGAGACTGAAGCGCGAACTCGAATTGGAAAGAAAATATTCTCGTACGGAACTGTACGGAAGATCCGCGTACAGCGGGCGCGACGAAGTCGATTATCCCAGGTATTCTCCGGACCGCGGATATCGACGTGATAATAGATCTCAAAGTCGCGATTCCAAAAGGGGTTACTATCCCGGGAAGCGCGCCGAGTCGCAAGAGCGCCGCGATCAGGGAAAATATCGACAGCCAGCAACTGGAGAGCAGTCGCGTGAGCGAACTGTCTCTAGGGCGAGCTACGTGAGCAAATCGCGAGAATATCAAGACAGGCGGGAGCCCTCCGCGAGGTCGACGGAGCGCCCTACGCGTAAAGACTCATTTCCCGAGAAACGACCAGCGACTTCTCGCGAAACCTCCGGTACTCGAAATCGACCAGAACCCTCCAAACCGCGCGAACCAACAGGACCCCGAGAGTCCTCGAGACCGCGGGAGCCTTCGGGTCAGCGAGAGGCTGCGCGATCGCGCGAGCCGTCTCGCCCCCGAGAGCCCTCGCGATCCCGCGAAACACGCAATAACGTGTCGTCTCTGAGGACGGACGAGATCCTGTCGGAGCTTCGCGAAATGGAGAACCGCGATCGAGATTCCGAAAAAGATGCCAGAACGGTTCCGACGATCGAGGTCTCCGTTATCGCCGAGGGCGAGAAGGAGATCGACCGCGCAACCGTCAAGGCGCTTCTGGATACCGGAGCCGCCGTCTTCGCTGTTGACCCTCGCGTCATCCGAGACTTCGAACAACGGATTAAGGCGAAAACCGATTTGGACATTGAAACCATCTTTCCTCGCGTAAAGATAAATAAAACTCATATACGAGGCGCGTTTAACCAGAAAGGAGTGCATACCAACTCACTGGTACAATTGAAGATCGAACTTAAGGATCTTGATGGAAACGCGAGCCGATACGTACATGAGTTTTACGCGATTGAAACGCTATATATTCCCATAATCCTTGGTGCGGATTTTCTGGGAAAGAATAAAATAGCGGTGACTTGCCCAGAACCAAGGCCTAACCTGGCCATCAGCGCGAATCGCGCGATACTACCGCGCGAATCGTTCGACGCGAATCAGCCGTCAACCTCAGGCGCTGATACAGCATGCGCCAATATGCGCGAATATCGCGAACCGTCCGCGTCACCTACGGACAGCTCGCGATATGAATCCGCAGAGTCGAGCGAAGCTAGCGAGGAGATTCTCAGAGACCCGCGAACGGGCTCTGAGCGCCACCTCGCAAGCGTCATTGACGCCCCTTCGCTCGAACCTGAAGGGGAGCTCGAGTCGCGAATGCCTTGTATAAAGGACTCGACGGAAAACCGCGAGGGACTCGAAACACCTATAGAGGGTCCCGATTACATGCCCGCGATTACCGACGAGAGGTTTTCGCGAAAACTCGAGTACCTTCTCGAGAAATACGACCAACTATTGGATGGATCCCTAGGTAGAATCATTGGATACGAACATGTGATCCGGATGATCAATACTAAGCCCTTCAAAGGTAAGGCTTATCCAATCGCACGAAAACACGTGGACGAGGTCAGACGACAGATCCGAGAGATGGAAGGTCTAGGCGTCGTAGAGAGGGCCGCCACGCAGTTTGTGAGTCCGTTAGTCGCCGTAACCAAACCAAACGGAAAAATTCGAATTTGCCTCGATGCACGCTCCATCAATGATCAGATGGAGAACGACCATACGCAACCGCCCACGATAGATGAAGTATTGGCGGGAATCGGGCAAAAACGAATATTTAATAAGCTCGACGTTACGCAAGCATACTGGCAGATACCTCTCGAAGAGGGATCTTGCCAGTACACCGGATTTAGTTTCGAACATCAAACTTACGTCTTCAAACGCTTACCATTCGGGCTGAAAACTGCGGGTGCCTCGTTTACGCGCGCAATTGAGGCTGCGCTTAAAGATCAACAGCACCTTAAACAACACGTAACCATCTACCTAGATGATGTATTAATTGCGAGCGAAACGGAAGACGAGCACTTGGAGCACCTCGAAAACGTGTTCGAGGCCCTACAAGTGGCTGGCTTCCGACTAAACAAAGAAAAGTGCAAGTTTGCGAAGAACCGCATTATCTTCCTCGGACATGACATATCCAGGGTTCACGTTACCATAACTGACGAGACCAAAAGGAACATTGTCGCGTTTCCCAAACCGCGTAATAAGAAAGAAGTCCAATCCTTCCTGGGACTTGTACATTGGGACAGACGATTTATTCCAAATCTTGCGCGATACACTGTACACCTTGAAAAATTACTCAAGAAAGAAACAAAGTTCCTTTGGGACTCTACGATAGAACAAGCATTCTGCGATATCAAGATCAGTGTCAGCAGCGCGACAAAGTTGTATTTGTTAGACCCGACCATGAACCTAGGAGTCGAAACAGACGCGTCGAATGTCGGTATAGGAGCGCGTCTATTTCAGTACAGCGACGAGAGTACTGAGTACACGGTCGCGTACGCTAGTCGAGGACTTCGAGGCGCGGAACGCCGCTACACTGTAACCGAGTTAGAAGGCTTAGCGCTTGTATGGTGCCTTAAGAAATGGCGTGTACTGCTAATGGGCAGACCGGTGCGAGTTAAGACTGACCACCGAGCGCTTAAATTTGTAAGCGCGTGCGCCGTCGCTAGCCAACGGATGGCGAGATGGTTAGCATTCCTGCAGGAATTTAACCTGGACGTGCAACACATTCCGGGACCATCCAATGCCACGGCGGACGCGCTGTCTCGCAAACCGGTACTCAAAAGACATCGCAAACCTACCGAGAGGAGTACGCGGTGGAAGAAGAGTTGAAACATCGACGACTCCGACTCCTCCGCGTCCAGCGACCATTGTAACACCAACCACGAGTGGGATCATGAGGGACGAAAGAAATTCGCTCCTCGCATCTGCCTCATGGCGGATCTGCATGAAGGTGAGAACACTCGTGGGTGGGTGAATTTAATACTCGATGCGCAGATCGACGATCCACAGACCTTACAACGAGCTGTGGAATTTCCCGAACGATACGAGCTGCGCGACGGTTTTATTAGAACGAAACAACCCGATGGAAGCGACCGAGTCGTAATACCTGACAAAGTAGCTTGGGATTTGGTACTGAGAATTCACCAGTACTTAACTCACTTTGGCACAGATAAAATATTGGAATTTGCCAGACGCTACTTCGACATAGCCAACGTCGAACGGATCACCAGAGACGCGGTAGCGTCGAGCCATTTATGTATAGTCACAAAGGTCTATCCAAGGCCCACTCGAGGGCCAGAATATTACGACTTACCGCAAAACATCGGCGAGGTCGTTTCTATCGATTTATACGGTCCGCTACCGCGCTCGTACGATGGTCATGCGTACGTTTGGTAATAATGGACCAATTTAGTAAATATATAAAAATGTATCCGATCAAAGACCAAAAACTTCAAACGATAATGCGGGTACTCGAAGAGTACTACTTCGTCGATGTAAACCGGATACCGGACGAAATCCTTACTGACTGCGGCGGTCAGTTCCTATCGGGACACTGGCGATCATTCGCCAGGCGAATGGGTTTTAAAGTACGGAGAACATCACCCTACAACCCGCAGAGTAACCCAGTCGAACGGGTCATGCGGGAACTGGGCCGATCGTTGAGAGCCTACGCGTGCGATGACCATCGACGCTGGGACGAAATTGTCCCTCGTGTAGAACAAGTTCTCAACGCCACGGAACATTCTAGCACGGGAGTGCCACCTGCGTGGCTTGAGGATAGACAAGTGGACCTCGTAATCGGTCCTCCCCAAATTCTGCGATCTCAGGTGGTACCTAGAGTGGACCGTGACAGGCTAAAAGAATCAGCGACCGAACAACTCCGCGTTATGGCGCGCAAACGCCGTCAACAGGCTGAAAAGCACGGAACGGCGACGCCGTACAAGGAGGGAGACCTCGTATGGATCAAGTCTCACAGGCGAAGCGATCAACGCCATTCAAAAATCCATAAATTATTTGCTATATACGAGGGACCCTTCCGAATACGAAGTACATCCTAACGCGTACAATATCGAGAGATTGTCGACTGAACTGGTTGGCCAGTTTAATACCCGCCAGCTCAGACCGCATCGCGAACCAGCGTGGAGAGATCGCGAAGTAAACCGAGACCAGCCCAGCCAAGGACCATCAACCACTACGGAAGACACCGAGTCGAGAGACAGCACGGAACAAGAAACGGCATATGAACAGGAACACTCAACACCACCGAGCACATCACCGCGAAGACGACGCAAACGACCACCGCGACTCTCGTCATTCGCACGAATGCTGTCACCCGACACGGATGATTCATGCGAAATGTGGATCAAACCCAGTAGAACAAGTAAACTCGAATATGAACTAGAATCACCTCCAGACTCTGACGAAACTTGGATAGTTATGAGATTACCCAAGGACGACTGCAAACGGAAAAAGCGAAATGGCGGGAGCGCAACCCCGACGTAGACACTAAATTTCACATAACTCTATCCAAATATGACACCCACCCTAACTAAAACCCACCCAAATAAGACACAGACTTGAATCAATCACAAGTCATCACCAAAAAATTAGCGAGATCACACAGACCTCGTCAAACAATAGTGGGAACACTCTAATGAGTGCGTCTCTCTTTTCAAATTGCAGATTCAAAATGAATTACGATAAGCAGAGGAAAAGATACGACAGCCTCAAACGAGAGATAGAGGAGAAACGCAAAAAGATCGAGGAACTTGAGAAGACCAAGGAACAACGGTTACAAAAGAAAATCGCAAAAATAGAACGCATCCTAAACGAATGTAACGAAAGAATCAAGAAACTCGAAAACACATCGTCATCAGAAGACGTAGAGAAACAACAAAATCCCAAACCAGGACCATCACGAAGCAGAGACAAGGATAACAAACCAAGAGAAACCAGCCGATCAAGTTTAAAATCAACGTCGTCTCAAAGAAAAGCAGAAAAACCTCCGTCACCAGAGGGACAACCATGGGTTTTTTCTGACCCCGAATATACACAAAATGAAGACCGAAGAACAAGCAACACATCCAGAAAGACAAGGTCGAGCTCAGAAAAATACCAAATATACAAAACTGGACAATCTCGTTTATTCAAAAGAGATAGCAGTGAAAAAGAAAATAGATCGCCAACACCAGCGACATCAACAGAAAAACACACCAAGGAACCACGAGTAAGTTTAGAACGACTCGGAAAAACTAAAGCACAAATACAAAAACGTCTCCAGGAAACTGAATCTGACAGCCCACCGTCAAAGAGAAAACATCACCATCATGATAAGCATTCACGAAAGACAACGGAATCACATAGAGACGACATGCATACACGAAGAACGACAGAATCACACAAAGATGACAGGCATTCAAGAAGAACAATAAAGCCATACAGTGATGATAGACATTCACGAAAAACGTCAGAATCAAACAGAGACACTAAATCATCCAAAACAAAACAATCAAGAGGGAAATCATTATCAACCCTGCAGAAAGAGCGAGAAAAACACAGAAAATACATGAAAAAATTCGCAAATCAAAGATATAGACAAAAAGTCAAGGAAAAACTTGAAGCGGCCAACATCATCCTCGCCCGACAATCACAAGCTAACTCGAGTGAGGCTGGGTCCACGGACGAAACGACCGCGAACACACCCTCAGGCGGGAGTGTGCAGCAGGCCCACGCTGCAAAAGGCTGGAGGCCGGAGGCCGAAAGCGCAAACCGATCACAGGCGAACTCGAGCGGCGCAGGAAAAAGTGGACGACCGTCCATTGTAGAAAGCAAAGCAACTAATATCAAGATGCGGCTTTCTTATAACCAACCGGGGACGGCGGCCGGGGATGAGGATGGTTATAATCTAACCAGACCAACCAGCCATCAGGAGCAACAGACAGAACCTGACCCTGGGTATCCGGACTACGAAGACTCTGACCAGGAGCAGCCTGACGTTGTCAACTAGTGACCAGCCGGACTCTGAGAGGACAACTCTGGAGCAGTCATCGGGGAATCCGGACCAGGAAGGACCTGACCAAGGAGAACCTGACCAGGGCCGTCCTGATCCGGAATCGCAGGGACGCGACCAGCAGAACTCAGAGAAGGAGGAAGCCGTCCAAGATGGAGATCCAAGCAAAGCCCGTAAAGTGGATCCCTAGAGACGTAAGTTGTATCCGAGCAAGACTTAAGTAGTTCTTAAGTACCCACGATATGTTATAAATTATGATTAAGATCGATTAGTAGATATATTTGGTTTATTTTATTATTATATTAAAATCTTTGAGTTTCAAGATTTGGGTTTCAAGACTTAAGATATGTGAGTAGAACTGGCGACAAATAGAACCTACTTAAGGCAGGGCTGGAGTGATGCTCAAGACAATCGAGTATCTACTGAGGGTAATAACTCGCGATGATGCTTGAGCATCTGCTCACCTGTTTCGAACCATACTCGGGAAGTGCTCGGGATCAGTCTTGAGAGACCTTAGGATTCACTTTAGACATAATCTTAAGACAGTAGCGTATGTCCTCGAGAAGCACTTTGAGTGGTACCCAAGACATACTTTAGACACAAAAAAGACTGACTCAGGGAGGTTCTTGAGTACTCTCTGAGATACGTGATTCAGCGACTCAAGCATCACTTCGGAATGACTCAAGGGTGACTAAAGAAGCCTCTCGAGCAACACTCCAGTATCCCTGAAAAAGGATGAGTGCGGTTCGAGTGGTACTTAAGATTTTTCAGAATTAAAAAACTGTTTAATTTTGATATTTCGAGATCCGTTGCATTGAGCTTCATCCCACGAAGACCTGCAACAAAATAGAAATTAGATTAATATAAAAATGAAGATTAATTTATACTTACCGTTGATCAGCAGCATCTGAGGGTATCCCACGATGATCTGCAACAAAGTAAAGAATTAATAGAATAACTTTTAGTTACATTATACTTACCTTGAGTCAAGTCCAACGGAGTTATATTGTTACCTACAAATATATGTTTATATATTATTATAAATTTTATGTACAGACGTTCGGGAAATGTTTAGAAATCAGTTAGAATTATTAATTTTAAGTTTGGACAAATTTTATTTAACGTCGGTAAGACCAGCGCCCTCTACGTAAACCTACGGACGCTAAAATGGTCAAAACGCGTCGAAACTTCGTCAGTGCGCTAATAAGGAGTTTTCGAACCTGTTCTATTAAGGAGAACGTGCGCCGAATTAAAATAATCAATGTCGGTAAAGACCAGCGCCCTCTACGCAAACCCACGGGTACCAAAATGGTTAAAACGCGTCGAAACTCCGTTAGTGCGCTTATAGAGAGTTCTCGAACCTGTCCTATTAAGCCGAAAGCGCTCCGGCTTAAAATAGTTAATGTCGGTAAAATTAGCGCCCCCTATGTAAACCCACGGGTGCTAAAACGGTCAAAACGCGTTGAGACTTGGTGACTGCGTTAATATAGAGTCCCCGAATCTGTACTATGAAGCGGAAGGCGCGCGAGCGTAAACTCGTTGATGTCGGTAATACCGACACGGCGAAGAGCCCTCTAGGGAAACCCACGACGCCGGGCACGGATCGAAATGTAAGTTTCGCCTCTGGAGAGGATCAATGGTCTTCCTCTCAAGAGGCGAAGCGCGCGAAAGCGCAAGAGAGTCGTTAACGACGAACCGGCCCGGACGGACGCGTTTGAGTGAGCTCCTCCGAAACCCAAACCGACGCGTAGTATCGCGTAAAGTGCCGTTGACTGAAACCCGACATCGAGTCTTGTGCGACGTCCTTACCGCACCGAAGAATCGCGCCGATATACTTATCTCGCGAATATTTAGTTTATTATACGCGTAGAAAGTTCCACGTACCTTTTATATTACGCCGCAAACGAGCGGATCGTGACTGTGTATATAACGAACGAATAAAAGATATTTTCTCGACTTTTCGGAAGTGTTGAGTTCCTTTCTGGTGATCCCGTCCTCATCTGGGAGGAAGCCGCTGCACGAGACTTCATCGGACGGGTGGCGACCAACTTTTAGTCCGTAAAGGACCTGCATCTTCGGACACGGTGCTCAAACACCCCATTCTGGTCCGGCTACAACCTAACCTAACCATACTAAAACTAACAATACCAACCAAACGCCCAGGGCCAAGCCAGGACCATCCGAACCGTGCAAGGAGCATCCGGACCTGGAGAGGAGCATCCAGGATCGTCCGGACCAGGAGAGGAGCAACCAGCACCATCCGGACCAGCATAGGAGTATCCAGGACCATCCGGACCGGGAGAGGACCGTAAGTGACCATCCTGACCTCGAGAGGTCCATCCGGGATCATCAGGATCTCGAGATGCAGGATTGGGATCAGCGGGATCTCGAGGTGCGAGAACCGGATCACGAGACCCGAGATCGGGATCATCAGGATCTCGAGGTGAGTGACCGGGATCAACGGGATCTCGAGGTGCGAGAACCGGATCTCGAGACACGAGATAGGGATCATCCTGACCTCGAGGGACGTGACCCGAAGGATCCTGACCCCGGGGGAAGTGACCACGAGTATCCGGACCCCGAGGACCCCGAGATCATGAAGCAGATGTGCGAGGGTGAAGACCCGGAGCATCGACCCGGAGGGAACGACAACGAAGACGACGACAGGCGAGTTCTTCTGCAGTGGCTGACTGGTCCCGAGTAGACCTCGAGACAGAGATCAGGTAATCGCGAGATCAAAGGATCTCGAGGTCAGTCATAAATGACTGCACGAAACCGATCAAAAGTTATGTTATATTTTTGTTTATTATGCGACTAGGCTTATTATTATATAATTTTAGTTAGGACCTCGAGGACTTAGAGGAGGTAAGAGTGTGACCTCGAGTCCCGGTAAAACCTAGTCTTTGCGATACACGTACCTGCTATAATCGGAAAAGATTTATATTAGTTTTGTTTAGTTTATTATTTTATACTTACCTGATTATGTAGAAGCATCCCACGAAGTCCTGTGATGACTCGACCTGCAAACATAAAAGAAATATTATTATATAATCATATATAGCCATATATATATATATTTTTGTATTATTAATATTAAGATAGTCATAAGAAGATTTTACAATTTTGTTATTAATCATTATATGAGGAATATCTATTATTTGTTATAAACGCCATCTGCGCCTGTGCGCGCACTGCTGAAGCGTTATCATGAACACGGTATAGAGTGCGAGTAGCCAGCGTCTGCGATAAGTCTAAAAAAGCGAGCAAAGTTTATTTTATAATTTTATAAGCCGAGTTTATTTCTATAACGTCGAAGTCGGTAATACCGACCGGGGAGAACGCCCTCTAGACGAACCCACGGAGGAGCGTGACTATGTGTTCGGTTCGGGAAATAAGGTTCCGCATCTCCACACACTCCACGGACTGTGTGAAGATGCGGAAGGCGCGAAGGCGCCAAGTTAGTAGCTCTCGAACCCCAGAGCAGACCGAACGCGTATGTGAAAGCACTCCGTCGCGTGCGACATTAAATAAAGAGAGAGTCTCGCTCGAGCAGCCACAGCGGTCGGACGCGTGCTAGCGAATGCTCGTAAACCCCCGCAGACGCGACGACCCCCGCGAATAGGCGAGTAAGTAACGGCGGATAGTGACCCTTTTGTGTAAAAGGTTGAGAATAAAGACTTTTGTGAAATACACGGTGTTAGAACTTTGTTCCGGGATCCCCGTCCGTCTTCGGAAATCTGCGCCGTGGTATAACCAAGTGGACGGGTGGCGACCATCTTATCGAACCTCTAGAACCTGCATTCTTTACCCTCTGGACCCGAGGAAGGACTCGCAGTCCGGTTACAACCTAACCATACGTGCTCAAGCACGTACTTTTCGTCCGGTTACAACCTAACCTAAACGAACCAAACCCAAGCCCAGGACTTAAGTCAACCGGACCCCGAGATCGCGGACGCAACGAACCTGACGACGAGGAGCAGCACCCGACGGAACCTGACGAAGAGGAGCAGTACCAGGGACAACCGGACCGAGAGGATCCTCTACAGGAAGAACTCGAGAAGATGTTCGGCAGCGAGGGATAGACTCGAGGTCGATCTCGAGACCAAGTCGGGTAACCCCGAGACGATCTTCAGTCGATCTCGAGGTCGGACTCAGGAAGCAGGCTCAGAGGCAAGGCTTAAGCAGGACCCAAGGGACTCGCGACCGGCCTCGAGATCGCGAAAGGATCTCGAGACGGGTCGCGAGTGAAGGTCAGAGCCGCAAGTCCTGAAAAATCGGACTGAAGTGCTGCTTGAGTTCGATCTCGAGAAAAGGCTGAAAACACCGCCATGCGATTGGTAGAGAAGCATAAGTTTAGTTTTCGTTAAAACCAATTTGTTTAAGAAATGTTTAGTTTTTGTTAACGCGAGCGTCTAAAAGAACTTGAGTGACGACTCGAGATGCAGAAGTCCCGCGGCGACGAATTGTTGTAATCGGATCAGGGTTAACTATTTTTTGTTATGCGATTATTATTTTAAGAGACGGTCACGCGGCGACGAAATATTGACGGCGTAGAGATATATATAGATATAGAGATATATATTATTTTATTTTATATTTTTTGATACAAATGTTTATTAGGGCGAGCGAGCCGTACGGTAAATCGGTAAGTCAGAGAACTGTTCATTTTGTACGGTGAAGAATAGCGCCGCCTAAGTGAGTGAAGCGACCTCTACATCGACGCGGGCGGAGCGAAGCGAGAGTTACGCGTCTAGATAGGGATCCATGGCCGATTCAAAATTGTGAGAAGCGCGTAAGCGTGAAAAGGGAGTCTTCCGTGACTAACCGGCCCGGACGGACGCGTGTGTTGACCGCTCCTCCGAATCCCCTCTAGACGCGTAGTGAGCGTAACGAGCCGCGAAAACCCCGCGACGTTGGTCGATGCGCGAAGTGTTTCCGCGTTTAAGATACGGTGTGTATTGTGATAATATACAAATAAACCAAATCTGGTGATATAGGAGAGTGCTGCGATGCCTTCCGGCGATCCCGTCCTCCCTGGAAGAGACGCGGGCACGGCACGAACGGATCAGGACGGGTGGCGACCGATATATTAATCAAAAGGACCTGCAGCTTCGGATTACGTGCTCAAGCACGTACTTTTCGTCCGGTTACAACCTGACCCCGAAACGTCCTCCAGGGATCATCCGGACC